GGCAACATTCTTTTTGAAATATTTAAGTTACATTAACATTGTGTGACGCTTTGCTGAATTGTTATTTCTTTTTGACACCAATTTGTACAGTCAAGCACATAATTATTCATAGCCCTGGCAAATTTGGACTTAAAGTTATTTTAATTCAACCAGCAAAATGTTGTTTTGCTTTTTGACTGGAAATGACACAGGTGTCTCCCAAAAGATAAGACTATGTACAAGAGAGAGGCATCATTGTGGAAAAAAATCTCAGCTTTACTTACATTTGAAGAAAAAGTATCAAGTCCAGAATTATTCATACCCTTCTCAATAATCGATAGAAAAGCCTTTATTGGGTATTACTGCAATCAAGCGCTTCCTGTAAGTACAGAGCAGTGTTTTGCACGTCTCCACAGCTATTTTTGCTCATGCACCTTTAGCAACGAGCTCCACATCTTTCAGATTGGAGGGTCTTTTTACCATCACCCTGATCTTTCGCTCCCTCCACAGATTCTCAGTTGGATTGAAGTCAGGACTCTGGCTGGGTCACTGCAAAACATTAATGTTGTCTGCTAACCGTTTCTCAAGGCTGTCTGCCTTGAGTAATTGCCACTAGCAGAGCCCAGATTCACCAGAATGGCCTCGGTGGTGATCCTTGGATTCTGTTCACCTCTCTCACTGTCCTCCTGGCCAGCACACTTTGGGCTTCTGACCTCGTCCTCTGAGATTTTCCACAGTGCGGAACATTTTGTACTTTTTAATAATACTTTGCAGTAGTGATGGGACGTTCTGTATCGAGGCTTCGAAGCGTGTGTCGAGTAATGAGGGGGCGTTTCCGCGAAGCGCGTATCGAGGCTTGCTTCATTTATGGGAGGAGCTGAAAATGATGACGTCCGAAGCCTCGCTGCCCGGCTGTACCACGTGACTGGTTCAGGAAGCGGTTTGAACTTTGCCGCAAATAATCATTTTCCATACTGCCAGCATAACTATACACAGTATACTGCATCACTACAATATCGATGTTTTACACACTCCTTTTGTTGTTGACATTTACAGGCTGTGTGCAAAAGGCCACACTCTTCAAATTCATGCCA